CAGCAGCAGGTAGCGGCGGCCTGAAGGAGACAGGAGACACTCAACAGCCCCAGACTCTCTTCTGCATGCGGTCCTACCCCGAGCAACGCTGCTGCTGCTGCTGCTGCTGCTGCTGCTGTTGCTGTTGCTGCTGCTGTTACGATTGCTGCCAGCAGCATTTGCCCCTGTGGCGCTCGGGCTGCGGCGATTCCGCCTGAAGTGCGGAGATAAAGAAAGAGAAGGCGGCAGAACAAGCCGGCATTGCTGCTGCTGCTGCTGCTGCTGCTGCTGCTGCTGCTGCAGTTGCTGCTGCTGCAGCTGCTGCTGCTGAAAACTCCTGCTGCTGCTGTCTGGTGTTCTTGGAAGGTGTTGAGGTTTTACTTGTAACATGCCCGTTGCTGCAGCAGCAGCTGCTGCTGCTGTTGCTGCAGGTGGTGCAGTTGCTGCTGTTGAACCTGCTGTTGCATGCGTTGCTGCAGCTGCTGCAGCAGGCGAGGCAGTTTGCTGCTGCAGCTGCGGCATCTGCTGCAGTGCTGCCTCCCTGGGGGGCCTTCGTATGTGCTGCTGTCTCCAAGCCGAAGGCTGCTCAGAGTTAAGAGGAGATCGAGCAGAAACAACAGCAGCAGCAACACCTTGTGTTGCTGCTGCTGCTGTTGCTGCTGCTGCTGCTGCTGCTGTTGTTGTTGTTGCTGCTGCTGACGGCGTCGTCGTGGGCGGCAAGCTGTGGCGCATGCAGCCAGAAGCAGCAGCATTTGCAACCAGGGCTGAGTACCTGAAGCTATGCTGCTGCACTAGCTGCCGCTGCTGCTGCTGCTGCTTCTGCTGCTGCTGCTGCAGCAGCTGTTGCTGCTGCAGCAGCTGCTGCACCTGTCTCCCCGCCGCCGTGTCGCAATTGATATGAGATAATTCGCTGGTTTGCTGCGCACAAGGAGAATCTTTTGCTGCTGTTTTCTCTGCTGACTCAGCTGCTGCTGCTGCAGTTGCTGCTGCTGCAGTTACTGCTGCTGCAGTTGCTGCTGCTGCAGTTGCTGCTGCTGCTTGTTGTGCTGCTTCTGCTGTTGATGGACTGTCTGCCGCTTGGAGGGAAGAAGGAGATGCAGGCTTCTCAGTGTCTTGCTGCTGCAGTTGCTGCTGCTGTTGTTTTTGCTCCTGTAAT